GTCTCTCTGGTGCAGTCGGGACACTGTGACGCAGTACTGTCTCTCTGGTGCAGTAGGGACACTGTGACGCAGTACTGTCTCTCTGGTGCAGTAGGGACACTGTGACGCAGTACTGTCTCTCTGGTGCAGTCGGTTTTGTGTGGTGCAGGAGGGTCTTAAGGGGCTGAGGATTGTAATCACTGTGCTCTGCGACACAGCAGCCCACAGCTTGGGCTGCCCTCTGAAGATGAGTCCGGCCAGGCTGCTGCTGTATCACTGGGCCCCACCAGCCGGCAGCTCGTCCTGCGCGTCACTGTGCTCCTGGTGGAAGATAATGGCTCCTCTCCTTTCAGCTGGCTGCCTTTTTGTTCCTGCTTCCCACGTGTTGAAAGGTGGTTGTCGAGAGTCGAGGTCTGAGCGGCAGCACTCCAGATGCAAACAGATGTGTGCAGCCGTGGTGGGGGCTGTTCTGGCACACCCTCCTCCCTCCCTCTCTCAGGCACTAACGGCCCCTGTTGATCTGCTCATGGCTCTGGGCTCCTGGACGTGATTCTAGCTTGAGGTCACACCAGAGCAAGTGTCACGCCCAGCGGCTCAGACAGGCCTGATTCACAGCAGTCTGATCCACTCCAGGCCTTACCTGTGGAGATTTCAGGCTGCACAGACAGACCCGGGGGACTCGGATACCTCTAAACCCAGCTGCGTCTCGGGCTCATTCGTGCGGGTTGTACAAGAGGCCTGCAACAGCTAAAACCTGGAGTGGGTGAGACAGCTACTTGACTCTGCTGTACAGAGAGCTGTAAGCACGGTGCTTGTTTTGGTAGAAAAAGACGAGGCGGCACGTTTCAGTTTCTGCAAGAAGGAGAAGAGACTCTTGGTCGTTTGTAACTGGGGCAGGAATCCCAGCTCAACGTTAAGCCCCGTCCGTGTGAAAGTTTTCGGTTCTGTGCTGCCAGAACTCCAGAGAGGGCTGTTGTCCCTTTCTTCCTTTTCTTTTTTGCTTCTGCCCAGGTCAGAGTCATGTCATTTTCCCAGGCTAGGGGGGGTGGGGTCATGTGACCAGAACATCATCTTCCTCCCCCCCTGTGGCAGGTCAGTGAGATCCAGAGAGAGGGGGTTCTCTTGGCGGTGTTACATGTTACAGGGGGCTGACTGCTGGCGCGGGGGGCCCCGGAGGGCTGGGAGTTTGGGGGGGGAGGGTCAGCGAGCGCTGTAAGAGTTTCCTGGCTGAGCTTCCGCTGGAGTGCACGGCCCAGGGCTGCAGGCTGCAGGCCCGTCGTGTGAGGGGACGGCCATACAGCAGCCAGGCGGCTCCACCCCAGCTGTGCACCTTACTGTACCCCAGCTCAGGGCGAGAAACCCCAGCTCTTGCATTCCCCTGCAACTCAGAATTGGGCTCTCAGTTTATTGATGTGATCAATATCATCAGCAGGGTCAATTAAGCAATTAATACTCAGTTTAGTAACTGTAGTGTTGGGAGGGTCCTGGTCCTGGGGGGGTCAGTGTGTCTGC